TTATTATTGTTATATTTCTATTATTTTTTTTTTTTTATTGTTATTGTAAATATTTAAAATTAGGCATGGAAGTAGTATCAAATCACTCAGTCATTTTTAAAGATTATAAACAAATGATCGTAGCAAAACTTCATTAAAACAAACCTTTACTTCCATCTCTTTTTAATAATAACACTAATAATAATAATAATAATAATAGTAGATGGATTTATATAGCGCAAATAAACGAGGTCTCTATACGCTCGGGACTAGATGTTGCACTTCTCAATAACTTTCTTCTCCCTTGAGAGTCATTTCATGTCCTCTGCAGCCAGTAGACCTACGCACTTTCATCTGTCCACGACAGGGGCCGGGTGAACCAGTACAACGGGGTCCCTACTCATCTCGAAAGATGTACTGCATTCTTGCTATATCCCTGTTATTTGCCATGCAAGTACAAGGCAAGGTACTCATGCGTACCGAAATAGAACCATTTTACAGCACTTCCACAGTGGCTAGTAATATTAAGAATATTCCTCGATATAAAATATATTTTTTTTAACTTTAATGCCGCCGCTTGAATTTCCATAGATTTATTAGCCTACTAAAATTTCCATAAATATTTAAAAATTTACCTCTGACACACAGGACTCTAAGAGCATCAAAGGCAGGCGTAATGTGCCGACCACTATTATAATCAAACGATTAATCATGAGTTGAAGTATGAAGATAATATTAGTAGGATATACTTGTCCGTAATCATTCATCTTCTTAATGACGGATCAGTGGCATATTTTGTTTTCAACGTGGCTTTAATGACTATCCATAATTATTAGACTGACACGATTTTCATTTCATTGTTTATTTTACACCAAAGGGCATTTCGCCCACATATTGAGAGAAGAAAATTAATATTTCTATTTTGTTCCAACACACAAGACATTATTGTTGTTTTTCTCATATCTTGAATATATTCACCCATTGAACTCATCAGGTGAAAAGACAGATGGTATAATAGATTGGTCAAATTATAAACTTCCAGTGAGCATAACAATTAGTGTATTCACAAAACATAGTTATTCCTATCACTATCAGTATAAAAATCAAGGTAAAATGTTTTTTGTTAATTCATTAATTTCTATGCTCAAGTTAAAAAATGTTATTTTACTGCAAAATTAGCAAGTTAATTTCAATATTTTGTAATTCTTTTTCGAAAATACATCCCTAAATCTGGTAGAAAATTTACTAAAACTTAATGATACTTCTTTTTTGGAATATAATGCATGGAAAGGTCCATGCCTGTATTGCGAACCTATAGTCGATGAATTCTCCAAGCAAAAACAAAAATAAATAAATAAATAAATAAATAAGAGAGGTTTTAACCTCTCTTATTTTTAAAATTAAGTGTTTGTTAAAGGCGCGTCTGAAAATAAGGGGAGGGGGAATCAAGAACTAGGTATTTTTTCCATACAGGA